ACCCCCCCCCCAACCCCCCCCCCCCCAGTAAATCCGCCCATACATGCAGTCCGCCCCTGTCCAGTAACTATCTATTTTTCAATTGATATATGTAGATATGGCGATGCTGTAATGGAATTAGACAGTGGTGTGGGTAGAATTCTAAAGAAATTGGTTGATCTCAAAATTGATAATAATACATTTGTTTTCTTCACCTCTGACAATGGTGCAGCTTTGCATTCAAAGATAAACGGTAAGATCGAAAGTTGAGTATATGAGTTGGGTTTTACCGATAAAAAAGTGTGTAGCACATTTTTTGGGCCTTTTTCAGCTGGAATAAATGGGCCATTTCTGTGTGGCAAGGAGACAACTTTCGAAGGTGGGATGAGAGAACCAACGATTGCGTGGTGGCCAGGAAAAATCAAACCTGGTCAGGTCAGTGTTCATATCTAATCAATGGAGTATTATATATATATATATATATATATATATATATATATATATATATATATATATATATATATATATATATATATATATATATATATATATATATGTACTATTTAAAGCACGCGTAGGAGTGTTTTATCACATAGAAAACGCGAGGCGCAGCCGAGCGTTTTATATGTAATAAAACACGACTACAAGTGCTTTAAATGGCTTAAAAAACGACTCATCTTATACGAGTTCATTGGCGAAGTAATTTTTAAAATAAACTTAAGTTAACGTTTATGTAAATTAACATGATTTTAGCTTAAAATAAGCTAAAGTTTATGTAAATTAACATGATTTTTTATCACATATAAAACCACGACACGCTTATGATTTTTCTATATATATATATAACCGGTATATATATATAGAATGACACGAAAATAAAATGCATTGCTCTTATTTTCAGATGAGTCAACAACCTGTATCTCTGATGGATATATTCACGACTGTATTAAAGTTGGCGAATGTTGAACCACCAACTGATCGCATTATTGATGGCATCAACTTGTTGCCAGTTCTACTTCAGAACGAACACATCGATAGGTTAGTTTCTAGTGTTTGTAGTTTGTCTCGTATCTATCTATTATAGGCTGGTTTCATTAGACATATGGTTACAGAGTATCTTGTAGCCAATGTTTGTACTTTTGACACTATATACAGGAAACTAAACTACAACTCTTCTAGCCTGTGATCCAGGTTAACCCACTGCCTAACCTGCGAACGGGTATGCTCTGGGTATGAGATTGCATGTACCTTTGATTATACTCGCTTTTACTTGTTTTTTTAGACCATTATTCTATTATCGTGGAGATGAAATGATGGCAGTAAGATATGGCTTATACAAAGCTCATTATTGGACGTGGACAAACAGCATTTCCGAGTATATGAAAGTAAATAAACTAAACTAACTTTATTAGATCACTTCTAAACTGTTCTCCCTAGAAGTAAATCCAGTAAAAGCCATCTCTTGTCGATGTAGTAGTGTTACTACAAGTTAATTCCAAACTCAATATAGAAATCAAAGGAGGTCAAATGCGGACGAGACTTGCAACTCTTGTCCTCGTTTGATCTGTGATTTAATCTATTTTTCAAGGGAACGGACTATTGCCCTGGGGAATGCGTCGCCAACGTCACGACTCATGAACGAACGAATCACACTGCATCGCCGATATTATTTCATTTGGGAAGTGATCCCGGGGAAAAATACCCCATAGGGTAAGTTGGTAACACAAGGACAAACTAAACTAACTTTTTCAGACTGGATATAGCTATCAGTGATAAACTTCCTAGAAAGTAAGTGCCAGGCTCCTTTGTTGGTTCAGTATCACTGGATATTATATCCAGTTAATGAATCTGGTCAAACTGGAAGTACTCTTCAAGGGAGAGTTGCGCACTAGTGTGTTAACCAGACAATCTGTCAATATGTCTTGTTAACACAAGATCTTTATAACTGAATGAACCTTGCCTCGTATTCCAAGATGTTTGGCAAGATAAACTAATCTTTTGTGTTTTTTACTTAGAAATGATAAAGAAGAGTACAAGACTGCTATGACAACAATTGATAAGATTGTCCAAGATCACAAAGCAAAAATGAAACGAGGAACGCCACAGCTGAACACGTGTGATCGGGCAGTCATGGTAAGTCTTAGTACGTTTTTCACGTTCGAGATACTTTTCACGCAGTTCAGACACAAACCATGACAGATTACCACCATGTTTGAGATATTTTTTCAGGTAGTTCAGATACAAACCACGCCTACTTATTGACGAATATTACCTACACTGGATCCCATGCACTTTTAAAGCCCTGGGCAAACTAGGAAACATTGTTGTACGTGGAAACATTTGTGATTCTCGATGTTTCCTCAAATGTTTCCCTGTTTGCCCACCCGTGGAACATTGTTGCGTAAACAAAATTTGCTTCCCGAGAAGCAAAAATGTTTCCTACGAAATTCAGAAACATTTCATGTTTCCCTATGTTTCTCACTAATGTTTCCTATAGTGTTTGCCCACTCTTCATGGAAACATGGCGAAACATTGCCGTCATTGGCAGGAAGCAATGTTTCCGCAACAATGCCGGTTTCCTAGTTTGCCCAGGGCTTAAGATATCGTTTTTAGTGAGTTTGGACACAAAACAGGGCAGCGTACTGAAAAATACTATTTACACTGGACCCCACGTATGAGATTTCTGATAAAAAAGGGCTAACGCGCGAAGGATTACCTGACAATTTTTATAACTTGGTCTATATTTGCATACTCCTTTTAGAACTGGGCACCTCCAGGCTGTGAAAAGATTGGAAAATGTTTGAGGATTCCTCCGTCTGACCCAAAACCCTGTGTCTGGGTAAAATGAATCATAGTGGTATTAACCTGAGTATCAGGCCCTATACGAGGGCCTGATACTCAGGTTATAGTGGTATTGGCTGAAAAATAGGTTCGCCAAGCGTGCATGTATCAGATGATCTTTCTCTATGTCTTTCTCCCAATTGCGCGGGCTCGTTTTGTCAGTGGACGTAGTTTTCGGGACCAACATACGCTGTATACAATATATATTTTAGTATATTTATATTGTATATTTAAAAACGCGTTTGGTATTAACGCGACCATAAATGCAGTGAAATTTAAATTGCGTGTCAGTTGTATAATAAATAGCACGAATTAAAATTTAGTGCGTTTTTTTGTTGGTTTTTTTATATTGCAATAATTGTATTATATTGCTATTCTATTTGCTATATAATTTACATACAGCTCATAACCCCCCCCCCCCCCTACACACCTGGGCTTAATTACGGGAGGGGGGCTTATGTACAGACATCATTTGATGTTAGTATTAAATATTAATATTTATTGTACATGTAAACTACCGTGAACGAAAAGAAATACAAACATACAGTGTATAATTATAATCTATACATTAAAATATTGTAATCTAATTGTTGTTGCCCAGATCTGGGTACGAGATCGCTGTCGACGCTGTGCAGAGGACGCTGTGTGAATTAACCAGTGGGCTTAGACATGGAGGGGCTTATATCCAGGGGGGGGGGCTTATATTTGGAATGGCCTGAGTGTTAGCCGAATATGGTGGGCTTATACGGTTAGCACTATTTTCCATCCAGCAAACTGACCTGACGTCATTTTCGGAAGATAGAAGAGGTGTTAAATGGCTATGAAACAAACCCTACCCCTACTCTAACCCCTAACCCTAACCGCAACCCTAACTCTAACCCTAACCGAATTAATAAAAGTCCCCAAAAAAGCGCTTTAGAAAATCGATAGGGCGGTTTGCTGGATGGAAAAAAGTGCTAACCGGCTTGTACACAGGGAGTTTATACTGGGGGAGGGGGTTATATTCTGAGGTTTACGGTATATTACTATCAAACGTTTCATATCTGAATCATACAATTCAAGACAATATATGCCCCCCCCCCCCACCTCCATTTATATGCAGTATTATACACACGCTTCCGAAAATTACTGACCTTATGAAGTGGAAACACGATCTCAAATGTATTAATAAGTAAACAAACTCGCATTTGTTTATACAGCAACAAATTGGTATATTTTCCATAAAGTGTAGCAATTATGTTAAATTCGAAGGTTTTGGTGGTATTTTTTCTTGTTTCTTGCTGCAGTTTCCAAGCAAAGGCGACAGATCTAGACAAGCCACCCAATATCATAGTCATGCTCATGGATGATGTATGTACTGTCAGTGTATACTGTGAAATTGTGAATAGTTCAATTATTACTTTACTAATAGTTGGTTAACATTTTCAGTTGTTGCAATTGTGGAAGAACTCTCATGTTTGAGACCTGATAGATTAGATTTTAAAAATGTAGCTAATGGTATGCCAGTGAGGTACCCATAACCATGGTACCCTAACCATGCATGGTACCCTAACCATGCATGGTACCAGCAATGGCATGTTGGTTGTGCCTGGCTAGCTGATGACTACATGGTGTCGATGGTGATGAGTGACCACAGTCGGAGCTTCTTAACTGGACAGATTTGATGTTTTCTGTATGTTTACTAAAAAATATCAAATTCGGCAATTTCAGTCCTCAATTTATATTTATTCTGCATTTTATACTTGGTCTGCAGATTATACTGACTGATTGGCCACCCCACCCACTAAAGAAGTAGTGTCCACCTATGTCTGATTGTATGCCTACATCTTTTTGTATTTCCAGATGGGTTGGGGTGATCTTGGTATATTTGGCAACCCCAGTGGAGGTTCGCCTAATGTTGATAAGATGGGACGTGATGGCATGGTACTGACTGATGCATATTCAGCCAATCCTCTATGCTCACCCTGTAAGTTCAAAATACTGATTCTTGGTTACAGTTTGTATAAACTTAACCCTTTAAGTGGCAATGCACCCTGATGCGCCCTTAACTTTAGGATTTTATTACTCTGTCTAACGCCAGAGGGTTTCACTCTGTCTAACACCAGATGATTTTACTTGTCAAGTGGAGAGTGTTGCCACTCAATGGGTTAATTTAAACATTGACTTTTTCAACTATAATTTGGTTTTCAGCTCGAGCAGCTTTGCTCACTGGCCGACTACCTATCAGGAATGGTTTCTATACTACAAACGCACATGCTCGCAACGGTAAGTTCTACGCAGCGCTGTGCATTGTGCTTTTGAAAACTATGTTGCCTTGGCTATTGTAGAGCCTTGTTTTGTGATTGAGATGTTGACCTTCAACTAATGTCATGTACACAAAAGCAAGGCTCTATAGCTAAAGTGATGTACTTTCCGGAAGGGTGTATTCTTTTCTAACACATTCCTAATTTTTGTTTCATTTAGGATATACTCCACAAAACATTGTAGGTGGAATTCCTGATGATGAGATTTTGCTGCCTGAACTTTTACAAAAAGCTGGTTATAGAAATAAGATTGTGGGGAAGTGGTATGGAGCTAATACATATTACTTGATACTAAAATCAAATTCTGATTTTTGTCCTTTTTTGCAAGTCTTTCTAACCAGTGAACATGACTATACCATTATTATTTTTAATGATTCTTTAATCAATTAGTATTAATACATTACTCTGAATCCAAAATTGTTGTTGCAAGTTGCAGCAAAAACTGCCTCGCATAACATGACCTTGAAACTTTCATTATCATGTTTAGGCATTTAGGTCAACAGCCACAGTATCATCCTCTCAAACATGGCTTTCACGAATGGTTTGGTGCTCCTAACTGTCACTTTGGACCGTATAATGATGTTTCATTCCCTAACATACCTGTCTACCGCAATGAATATATGATAGGAAGGTATTACAGTACATAATTCATACAATTCATGATATTTTGAACTTCAGCACTGGGGTTTCCATGTACCTATAGAGTATTGGCACTCGACAAGGGGAGAGTGCTGGCACTCAGACCTTGCATTCAATTCTCAAACACACATGCTCAGTTTGTTGTTATATACTACACTGCTCATATAAGGACTAACCCTTTAAGTGGCAATCCACCCTGATGTGCCCTACTTTAGTATTTTACTCTGTCTAACGCCAGATCGAGTATTTTACTCTGTCTAACACCAGACGATTTTACTCATCAAGTGGAGAGTGCTGCCACTCAATGGGTTAATTAGGACTAAAACAAGAGTTTTTCATATGGTAGTTGATTGAAGCACTTTTTTCCTTAAGGTATTATGAGGACTTTCCTATTGATCACAAAACTGGTGAATCCAACCTAACCCAAATGTATATAGAGGTATGAACTTCGGCAGAGGTCCATAAGTTTGAGTTACTAGTCAATACACAGCCAAAGACCCGCCTAGAGGTTGTGCAGAACCCAGTTAACGTTCCACGGTTTTATTAACTGAGTTTCACCATATAAAATCTGACACCACATTATCAATGTTTTTGTTTGCACTGCAATGTAAATTACTTTTATGTCTATCTATAGGAAGCCCTGAATTTCATTTCAAAGGAAGAGCATCCTTTCTTCCTATACTGGGCGCCAGATGCGACTCATACTCCTCTTTATGCGTCTAAGGAATTTCTGCAGAAAAGTTACCGTGGATTGTAAGTCTCTTGTACAAACTTGTTATACTACAATATTGAGTGTTGCTGCACAGTGGTCAGAGTGCATTTCACCTCAGTGATTGAGGTTCGATTCCTGCGCATTGTTGAATTGTATTAGTTCACCGGCCATGTCACATGTGAAAGGATTGGTCCTTTCAGAGTATAACTCTAACTCTACCAAACAGCACAGCACAGGTTTTCTGTGGCTATGCCAGTGCTCGTTTCCAGTTTCCTAAGGGGCTATTCATATGCGCTGGGGCCAGTCCAGCTAACCAGGATGAAAATTTTTTCATGATCATAGAATATCATTTGAATGAACTTTATACTGGAATCAAGCTAAACTATTCCTGTCCACTATAAATAATCTTAGTTTTGTTAAGTTTTTTCCCCTAGTACAGATTTTAATAATTGCAAAAAAAATTTATTCTAATTATATTGGGCTAGAGACCAGACCTACTAGAACCTTTACAAGCTTTTTTGTTTAGGCTCCTAATTGTAGTTCATAATGAGGTTAATTTAATATATTTGCAGTTAAAGATAATGAAAAAAGTAATTTTTGGAATATATGCTATTTACAAAAGAAGGATTAATAAAGCAGGACTATTGCAATAAGAGATACGTTTAAATATCAATAAAATATGAAGACTAGTTTAGCAGATTCTCTTGTCTACTTTTTACAGACACTTAATGACGATCTATTTTTCAATTGATATGCAGATATGGTGATGCAGTATTGGAACTAGACAGTGGCGTTGGCAGAATTCTCCAGAAGTTAATTGATCTAAAGATTGACAATAACACCTTCGTTTTCTTTTCTTCTGACAATGGAGCAGCTACGTATTCAAAGATAACTGGTAAGATCTGAAGACGTGAGTTAGGGAAACAAAATTGTTCACATGGCGTATAGTTCATTCACAAATAGGTACTGTACGTGTATCTTTTGGGGGGTTTTTCAGGAGGAATAAATGGTCCATTCTTGTGTGGTAAAGAGACGACATTCGAAGGTGGGATGAGAGAACCAACGATTGCATTGTGGCCAGGAAAAATCAAACCTGGTCAGGTCAGTGATATTGTGGAGGCTGTCCAGAAAACTAAGCTAAGACTTCAAAAATTGCAGTGGCGCCTAAATTACTTTGTCAAGTAAAAGTAAAAGTAAAAGTAATTAACAATAAAACGACTTGAGTAAGAGTAAAAAGTTCTGGAGGCAAAACGTACTTTAGTAAAAAGTGCAAATTATCCTTAAAAAACATTCAACTTAGATGTTTATCATGCCGCTGAATATGTTTGGCATAAACATTCAACTTACATGTTTATGCCGTTGAATATGTTCGCTATAAATATAACTGCACAACAAGAGCTTCGCGAGAACTGAGCTCTACATGCACTTTATAAAATACGTAAAAAACTAGACTTTTCCAAGTTTTCACTCAAAACAGCAACGAAAATAAAATGCTTTGGCATTGCTCATATTTTCAGATGAGTCAACAACCTGTATCTCTGATGGACATATTCACGACTGTATTAAAGTTGGCGAATGTCGAACCACCATCTGATCGCATTATTGATGGTATCAACTTATTGCCAGTTCTACTTCAGAAGGAACACATCGATAGGTTAGTTTCTAGTGTTTTTCCTACATTATGGCTTGTGTACATTAGTCATTATGTCTGGTTTCACTAGTAGCATTACAAAGCAATTTAATTCCAAACGACTAGTCAACTTCACTCTTCAAGACCCAGTGATACGAAGGCCGGATAGTGATTTTTTCAAACTTTCTAAAATTGACAATTGAGTACTATAACCAAAATTAAAGTTTGGTGATTATAAATTAAAGAGCTTTTCATATTTATTGTGAGGCGTTAAAGATGGTTAAAAAAACCCTTTCCGGTGGATAGCGCTACCGGTATCCATGCCAACCTCCCCAGAACTGTTGACACCATACATGCACAAGGCAATTAGCCTTTTTCCAAAAGAGATCACAGTGCATTCTGGGATAGTTTGGAGGGACAAAATATATGGTGACAGGCGTCAAATATGTGAAAGAGTACTAGAAGTATCTACTATCAAATATCAACTTTTTAGACGACCAAAAATGAAATATCTCCTTTTTACATTAAACTTTTAATTTAAATGTGTGCTGCCATATTTCTTGTTCCTCCAACATGGGATTCGCGCGACTAGACCCAGGACTTTCGGAAATGATTTGCGCGACTAGACCCAGGACTTTGGGAAATGATTTGCTCGACTAGACCCAGGACTTTGGGAAATGGCTAATTGTAAACTACAATAATACCCTCTGAACCCTCTGTATTTATTGGCCCACAAAATCCAAGATTACTATACCGTATACTATATATATATATATATGATGAGAAGAATTTAATTATTTTCTAGTAGATTATCTGTTAACAGTTTGTTGACCAGCGTCTTGCCCACGATGATGCACAGAGTGCGTAGAATTAGGGTGGGGTGATCCAGCTTTTCTTCAAAGTGCTTTTCCTCCATTAAAATTCTCTCCGGATAAATTCTCCCGCTTTTCGTATGTTATCAGGGTGTCCACGGGCCTTGAAAATCCTGGAAAGTCCTTGAATTGGAAAAAAAAATCCAGGACTGGAAAGTCCTTGAAAGTCAACCTCCAGCTGTGCCAACATTAGTGATTTTGATTAAAATTACTGAATAAAGTGGGGCAAATCCGTGCCATTTGCAAAGATTTTTCCCAGTTCTAGGTCCTTGAACTCAGTACTGAAAAAGGTCCTCCCTGTGTTATAAATATGCCCATGAAACATAGTTCCCTGCAATTATTTCCTGCATCTTTGAATCTGCATCCTCGGTTTTAGACCAATATTCTACTATCGTGGGGACGAAATGATGGCAGTACGATACGGCTTACACAAAGCTCATTATTGGACATGGACAAACAGCCTTTCCGAGTATCAAGAAAAAGTAAGTAAACTAAACTGACTTTTATACTGGATAGTTCTGTCTGAGCAAAAACAAAATGTCAAAAATACTAAGGAATCAATTTTTCAAGGGCGTAGATTTTTGTCCTGGGGAATGTGTGACAAACGTCACGACTCATGAACAAATGAATCACACTGCATCACCGATATTGTTTCATTTGGGAAGAGATCCCGGGGAGAAATACCCCATACGGTAAGTAACACTTTTGCAATCTCGTACCGAGAGAGAACGTTCTCACTGTTAAACTAAACTAACTTTTTCAGACTGGATAACCCTTTCAATGCTTTATCGTTAAGTACCAGTAAGGGCCATCCCTCGTCGGCAAAGTATAAGCTTTTATTTCGTGTCTTTTTAAACTTAGAAATGATAAAGAAGAGTACAAGACTGCTATGACAACGATTGATAAGATTGTCCAAGATCATCATTCAAAGATGAAACGAGGAACGCCACAACTGAACATGTGTGACTCGGCTGTCATGGTAAGTTCTGCGTCGGCCCTGGTTTGTATCTGAACTACATGAAAAGAATTTCAAAACACTTCGATAGTTTAAGCGAAGGCCTTTCGTCAGCAACCAATGCTTGTTATCCTTATATTCTCGCTATGCCTCCTCTACGTATATTACAAAACAGATATGCACAACCAGTATTAAGAATGCAAGGCAATCCGGTGTTTTTTTCCGCCTTTTCAAAAAAACAGTATTACACTATTACTTTTCTAAGTGTGTTTGTATATTCCTTTTAGAACTGGGCACCTCCTGGCTGTGAAAAGATTGGAAAATGTTTGAAAATCCCTCCGTCTGACCCAACACGCTGTGTATGGCTACATTGAATTTAACCAGTCACTCTAAGAATGTTGTCGGCACAATCAGTTGCCTGCTGAAATTTTCACTCAACATTCGCAAGCTCATCTTGTCAAATTGGGCAATGATTCTCTCGATTGTCACCAACAATGAAGGGGGATATTTTTACAAATTTCCTAAAAAATGAAAAGATTATGAACGAAAATCAACTAATTGGTGACCTGACTTATTCATGCATGCATAAAATCCAAAACAAACCATTATTTAATGTTACATGTAATGCTTGTGACGCCTGTAGTGGCTGAATCATGGCGCGATAAAGATTCAAAATTTGTTAACAATATTTGTTATCAGTGTGTCATTTTATACAATTAGGTTGGACCGTTATGACCTATTTCAAATCTTGTGTAACTTTTGAAATGTATTCGCGTGGATATAAGCATTATCACATGTGACGTCATCATGTGCACGTCATTCTGATGACGTTTTATATGACGTCATGCACTTAGTACCCAGTGGCAGGTATTCGCGCGGTCAAATATTTCAATTTTTCATTTATAATTTTCAATGCCAAGATGGCTTCCAGTTCGAGGCGTGTGAACATGGAAGTGATGATAAAAAACTACGTTGATAAGGCCCAAAACAATTCTCCGTCGACCTGCGATGAAAAAGTGACCAATCTTGAATACAGCCATGCTATAATGAAAACTCTAAACAAGTACAGAAAAGCCGAAGCGTTTTGCGATGTTTGTTTATTGGTCGAAGAAGTAGAAGTGGTTGCACATCGAAATGTGCTGGCAGCAAGCAGCCCGTATTTCGAAAGACTTCTCAGTTCGACTATGAAAGAAAGGGAGCAGTATAAAATACGTTTAAACGGAATAAAAGCGAAAGTTTTGAAGGATGTACTCGATTATATTTATATTGGAGACATAGTTTTATCGGCTGAAAAGGTTTTTGACTTGATTATTGCTGCTGACTATCTGATGCTCAGCAGACTTAAGAATTTGGCTGAGAGTTATTTTTTGGAAGATTTGAATTTCGACAACTGTTTGTCTGCTTGGATATTTGCAGATCGTTACCAGTGTCCGAGGCTGAGAGCTAAGGCGAGAGAGCTCGTTCTAGCGAACTTCTTTAGCATAACAAACACCAAGGAATTTTTAGATTTGGACATGGGGTATATCGTTGAGTTGTTGGGAAGTGAGGGGCTTGCAGCCAGTGATTGTGAAGCTTTTGACGCAGCTTTGAAATGGATTGACCACGACCACTCGTTAAGAGCGAAGCATTTTGACCAATTAATTAACTATATTGACTTGACATGTCTGCCGGATGGTTACATTTCTCGAGTAATTCGTAGTCATGAGTATGCTAGGAGCAGCAACTTACTTAAAGGGGCAGCAAAAAGTGTTAATGTCATCGCTATAAATAGCAATGAAACACCAAGCCATGGAGAGCCAGTTGGTTACCATGGTAACAAGGCTGTATTGGTTGTCGGTGGTTGGGAAAGAGGAAAGGGTGGCATTGCTAGTGTTAATTGTTACTTCCCTTCACTTAATAAGTGGTGTTCGTTAAGGAACATGAATATTGCTCGTTATCGTCATGGCATTGCGGTACATGGTCATGTGGTTTATGCCGTAGGTGGGAGTTTGGAAGCGGACGACTCGTGCATTGAATGCCTCGACTTGAACCAACCTGGGTTACCTTGGCAACGATTGTTACCGATGTGCAGTGGTCATATTGGAGTCGCCATCACCTTCCTCAAGGACTACCTGTATGTCTCAGGCGGGTTCTGCGGAAAGACGCTCAACACGGTTCAACGTTACAGCCCTGTAACGAACACCTGGGAGCCGGTATCACCAATGATGCAAGCAAGGGAGGGCCACTGTCTAATCGCTTGTGGTAGCTTTGTTTATGCTATTGGTGGATGCTGTGGTCAAGATAATTCAGAGGTCCTGAAAGGAGTTGAGCGGTACGACCCACCCTTGGATTCCTGGTTTCCAGTTATGCCCATGAAGACCCAGAGGTATGGAGCGTGCGGCGTCGAGCTAAACCAGAAGATTTATGTGTTTGGTGGTCAACTCAATGTCTACACCGAGGGTCCGACCATTCAAACAAATTTCCGAACGTGTGAAGTGTATTGTCCCAGGCTTGACCAATGGAACATAATTGCAGAGTTGAACATCGCAAGGTTGAGGTCGTGTGCCGCAGCTGTTGGACATCGGATCTATGTATTTGGTGGGTATCTTCATGGGAGTTACCTAGACAGTGTTGAATGCTATGATTCAAGGAAAGGAACTTGGACGATTACTAGTACCGTTTGTATGCCGTCAAAGTTAGAAGGTGCAGCTTGCTGTGCTGTACAGTTGAAAGGTGAAATCTTCACCTCACTTTTGCCAATGATTGCAGACAAAGGAAATTGAGGTTCTACTGATGTGTAACTCATTTTGCAAGATGTTAGTTCCATTTATACACAAGACAAACTTTCCAGAGAGACTATGTAGATAAATATTAACTATGGTTTATCCTGTTTGAATCAATTGATAGTTCGTTTTATATTGACACATGTAAATAGTGCAATTTGTAAAATAGTACAATTTCATTTTAAAATGGCAAATAAATGCCCATTATGCCCTTATACTTGTCTCCTTTTAATAGAATCACTCGATTTGAAGGTTTTAATTAGCTCAGCCAATCCATAGATATCTTGAGCCAATCAGTGTGAGGATAACTAAATATGATTGGCTGATCAGATTGAAACCTGCCAAATGTTCGTGACAAACTTGAAAATTTCATGTGATCACGTGCATCGACATTCGACAATGTTTTTCTGAGATTGTTTTTCTGAGATTGTTCATGGTTAGATGCAAATGACGGTAGGAATAAGTTATTCTAGCAGCGAGCCCGCGAATTATTTTCTCGTGCGTTCGAATTTTGTATAATACTTCATACAATACAATACGTGGACATAAACAAAAGGCACAATACTGGTCATTACTGGGCACTGAGACCTGTAAAGAATTGTACAAAATATTCCAGAAAAGATCATGAACGGTTTTAAAATTGTGCGATCTTTGAAATCTAGAGCATGTTCTGTCTCAGGTCTGTCCTCTACAGTGATCAGAGCTAGGTAAGTCCTATAATGAAAATACCAATATTCTTGACTGTATTAAATGGTCATGCAGTTGCTCACGACTTCTCAAGAGTTCTAATTTTTTTAGCTCTAGTTTTGAGGTAGAAGCACCAAATTTTTATATATTACATTCACCAGTTCATCATGGTGGTCTCATCTTGAGATGGGTCCTCCAGATGCAACTCTTGGCATTACTTGTCCTTTGCAAGGACAGTAATGTGGTTAAAATAAGGATTTTAAGCTAAATAAGACCAAAAGTTTCCTAGGGCTTTGCCTCCTTACCCCAACCTTGGTTGTGCTTCCAGAGCCTTATTGCAACTTGCTAAACAGCACTATGCATCTTCTCAATCACCTCCCTACCCAACTTTTTGGCACCCCTCCCCATCCCTGAGAGCAAAATCTGAAAATTTGTCTATGCTTCATGTATTACATTTGACAGTTCATCATGGTGGTCTCATGTTGAGATGGGTCCTCCAGATGCAATTCTTGGCATTACTGAAGCATATAAGAAAGATCCAAACCCTAAGAAGATAAATCTTGGTGCAGGAGCTTATCGAGATGATCAGGGGAAACCATATGTTTTACCGGTTGTGAAGAAGGTACTATATAGAGCTAATGTTGAGCTTGTTCTGAGGAGTCAAAATTTTTTTGGGGGGGGAGGGCGGTCCCTCCCATACGCCTATTTTTCCTCCTGTAGTATCCACAAGACTGATAGGCGTTGGCTCTTTCTGTGTTTAGGCAGAGAGTATGATAGTTTCAGGGAATCTTGACAAGGAATATGCTACAATTGCTGGTCTACCACCATTTGCAAAGGCCTCAGCACAGTTGGCATTTGGCAAGGATATGAATGGTTTGGTGAGTCTTATTATTTTACCAATTTACCTGTACCAAGAGTTTTAAATTTGTTAGGTTGGCAACTAATTATAACTTGACATAACATTTTAGAATGCAACAGTTCAAACCATTTCTGGTACAGGTGCACTAAGAATTGGAGGTGCTTTCTTGGTAAGGATATATTTTTACTCAACCTCGTTCCCAGTCTCTTACCTCTTGTGGAGGAAAGACCCTAGTAATAGCTGGTCACATGATCTGCTAAAATCTAGCAGGTTTTTAATTGATAATGGTTTTGCAAGTTTGATTTGATTTGATTTTAAAGGAATCCAAAATAGTAATTAGAAATCTGCTAGGTTTTAGCAGATCATGTGACCAGGGTCTTTCCTCCACAAGCTGGTAAGAGCCTAGGAACAAGGTTGATTTTATTCTGTGATGACATAAACTGGGAGTAGATTTGTGGTAAGCCTGTAAAGTTACATAATTTGTATGGTAAAATATTTTTTGACACAATTGTTTTTTTACATGCAGGCAAGATTCTTGCAAGGAGAGAAAGTTATATACATGCCAAGTCCAACATGGGGAAACCATATTCCTATATTTCGGTTGGTAATGTATTCCTACATTCCATTTGAGAAGATATGGAAATTTCCAGTAAATCCATTGGGTGCCATCTAGATTCTAGTGCTCTTCCCTTGTTGAGTACAATTGTCTGGCATATTAGGCAGAGTGAAATAAAAGTACCTAGTGTGCAACTAGTAGGTACATGGGCAGATTGGAATAACTCGGTACATGGGCAGATTAGATTAATCCATTGAGTACCGGTGTGCTCCCGTTCATGAGTAAAATTGTCTGGCATTAGACAGAGTGAAATAATAAAGTAGGACACATTAGGACACAATGCAACTTAATGGGTTAATTTAATCTTTCTTTACTTTGTATTCTGTGTTTCCTGCAGAGATTCTGGATTTGAAATAAAAACATATCGGTACTATGATGCTGAGACATGTGGTTTCGATTTCAATGGTTGCTTAGAAGATCTCAATGTATGTAACTTCTTTCTTTTTGGCATTTTTATTACATTTATTCTCAACATGGGCGATTTTACTGGGGGGGGGGGGGCGTTAGGAGGGGTTAACCCCCCAAGAATCTCTCTAACTCCTCTTATAAAGTGTTCAAACCCCACCAAAATTTTGCTTCACCCCTCCTATTTTGACTGAAAATCTTTAATCCCAACTCCTAATTACCCCTGCCCCTATGATGCCACTTGCATCCCACTAGAAATTTTCCCACCCCTCCTATAAAAAAACACGAAAATCCACCCTTGATTCTCAATCACAAGTAAAATTAAACACACTTTCCATTTTCAGAATTTGCCAGAGAAGTCTGTTGTATTACTTCATGTTTGTGCCCACAACCCAACTGGAGTTGACCCAAAAGTAAAGTTCTGAATTTGTTTTCATATGTTTTAATAAATGTGCAATTCTGGTGATCAAATTTTTGGAAATAGTCTGGTGTTCCACATGACTGTAATCATGGTTTATTATGGTCAATTAATTTACCATTTATATTGCACAACAATGACAAAGTGCATATTATACATTGTCAAGTAAAAGTGCATATATCCTGCATCCTTGTACATTTTATAAAGAAAGACCATTAGAAAATATATGTTACGTGGCCAGTTGATGGTACAAATATTAATTGCATTATTAATATAGACTATTATAATAAAGAATATTTAATATATGTTTCAGATGGAACAATGGAAAGAAATATGTGAAGTAGTCAAGGTGTGTATGCAGAAATGTCAGAAATATGACATTTTGCATTTCAAACTGTCTTATTTCTTCCTGAATTTTTATCAATTTAGAAACGCCAGTTATTCCCGTTCTTTGACATGGCCTACCAAGGTTTTGCAAGTGGGGATATTGATCGTGACGCAGCTTCTATGAGATATTTTATCGACCAGGGATTATCCGTTTTTGTAACCCAGTCGTATGCCAAGAATATGGGTTTGTATGGTAGGTATACTTTGTTGTGTTATGTGATAAAGAAATCCAATTATATTAAGACAATACTGTATTCTACATTAAGTTGTAATGCTCAATAATTCATGAAGAAAACGCAAAGGATCATGAACATAACTCGTGAGGAGCTTGTATATCGAGGTCTAATACAAATTCCTGCTGGAGTGCTGATTTACTTTTCTGCATAAATTTTCAGTTTATTTCAGACCTGGAAAATGGGGGATCTCGTAATACTGTGGAACATGTGCCTTTATAGTTAGCAATAAGATTGAAAAACATTTTCATTTTTTCCCCATATAAGGGACCGGTCATTATTTATGGTGGGGGGTGGCACCGAAGAGAAATGTTTTTCCTGGTAAAAATTTTGCTGACCCAACCATTAGAAAGCAAAAAATTTGATTACCAAACCTCAAATATCAATTAAAAAATAAATACCCACCCCTTGCCAAAACCTTTACAAAAGGATACCATTCAGTTGTCACACATGTCCTTTACCACTTCTGTGACACAAGTTTGATAATTAACTTTCATGTTGTATGTACATGTACTTTCTTTGGAGACACCAGTTGTCTCCCAACAAATCGGAAAATGATCAAGATAGATTGATTGATTTACATATTGTATTGACATACGACTGTTGACATTGCTTTTCAGTCTCCAATATTTAAGTGAGTCATGCTTTGAAAATGACAATAACTTTTTATTACCCAACCCTTGAGTTGTTTTGTTTTTCATTTACCCCACCTTTTATTCACTCAAAATTTAGTTTACCCAACCCTTTTCTCTTCGGTGCCACCCCCCGCCATAAATAATGACCAGTCCCTAAGTTATGGAAGAATCTTAAGGAAAATGAATGATTCCACGAAACCCATGGTAATGGTACCATAGGCTGGAAAGAGCATCTTAAAATGAGTAAAACTGCAATGTTTGGTTGCAAATTGTTGTAAAATGAGGAAAATATAGCCTTGTGAAGTTCGCAAATTTTGTATATATTTACATTACTCGCGGAAAAAATAACCTGTTTTTGAGCGGAAAGTGGTTATTTTTACCGCGCGTAATACAAATATATTCAAAATTTGCGAAATTTACATGGCTATATTTTCTTCATGTTACAACATTTCGTAACCAGACTTTGCAGTTTTACTCTTTCTAAGACGCTCGTTCTAGCTGTTGTGTTGAATTTCGTTCTTCAGTTCTTCTCGCCTTGATAAAAATTTAGTCTATAACTGGAATCATTTTATCAGACTAGTACACCATTGAACTATAAATAAACTGGAAGGCTAACTCAGGGGGGGGGGAAATTGAAGCCAGTGTATTTTAGTTTTTCTGAGTTATGAGCAGAAATACTCAACACTGAACGTTGGGCTATATATCAAATTGAAGCTATTGAAAAACTCTATTTGGTGTAGAAATTTCAAGACTTTAGCTAAAAGGGAAATATTGAAAAACTACAAACATAATTACCGATAATTTGCCGTTTTGCAGCTGTTTTTGTATTTTTTAAAGATTTTTCTTTTCGCTGAAGTCTTGAAATTTCCACATCGAATAGCAATTTTCAATAGCTTCAATTTGATATATAGCCCGACGTTTGGGGTCAAGTATTTCTGCTCATAACTCAGAAAAACTATTTTGGCTTCATCAAATCATAGGCCTTCATCATAGCAGTTAGCCTTCCAGTTTATTTATAGTTCAATGTAGTACACTTCCTTGTCTGACATTTGAGAATGTGAAGAGTTGTTCAATGTTCAAATTTGGCGTAATGTACGGTCCAGGCAAATTCAGGATCTATTCCTGTGGAACATTAAAAACGTTTCCCAGCTTTCATCATTCACGTCTTTGATTATTGAATTGCCATTTTTTTTTCTTTCCAAAGGCGAGCGAATTGGTGCACTGAATGTTGTGTGTCAGTCTGTAGAAGAGGCAAAGGCTGTGGAGTCTCAGCTGAAAATTCTCATTCGTCCAATGTACTCGAATCCTCCAATCCACGGAGCGAGGATTGTGACCGATGTTTTGAACAATCAAGAACTGAGGGCGCAATGGCTTGTGGAGTTGAAAGGAATGGCAGACAGAATTATTTCGATGAGAGAACAATTCCGTGGCACTTTGGAAAAATTAGGTATTGTTATTAGTACTGTACATTATGGTGTAAGAGGTGTATAGTGTTCTCATTCTAAAGTAGTCTTTTGTCTTTTTTCAATGCAGGATCGAAACGTGACTGGTCACATATCACAGACCAAATTGGAATGTTCTGTTTTACAGGACTTAAACCTGACCAGGTAAGTTCTACTGTAACATACGCCTCCGAAAAGTACGTCATCTCGGCTATAGAGCCTTGTTTTCGTAATTGTGACCAAGGCCGGCGAGAGGGGGGGGTCAGGGGGGGAATACCCGGGGCCCGGAGTGCTCAGAGGGGCCCCGAAAATCTCGGTAAAATGTTCGTATTGTTTATCATCGCTTTATGTTTGTCCTAAATGAAATACGCCTACTTGCACACTATCCGCTGATTGTCGTCATCGATCGTAAAACGTACCAAATGTGAAATAAACGATTTTTCGATCGTTTTCTCAGCAAAAAAACGAGTTAGCTGAACATCGTTCACATTGCGTTTTTATCAGTTTTGCGTTGATTTCTTGCAAGTAATTCGCTGGCAATTCTCTCGTTGATTGCGATTAGAAATAGACTTTGGCGTGGCCATGCGCCAGCGGGAGAGTGGAGAGGGACAGGGGCCCCTGCTCACCAACTCATCATTTCGTCCTGGGGCCCGTTGTTGGCTCTCGCCGGCCTTGATTGTGATGATTTAACTGATGTCAGATACATAAGAACAAGGCTCAATAGCTACATGTACAGTGCCATACTTTAATGCGGAAGGAAATTCCGAAACTGAGACTCCGAATAAGAATCGCATCTTGAAAGTCAATATTTGAGGAAATCAAAATTCAAAAGGAGACAAGATCGATCACGTGGTGTTTTCATTTGCTGTAATCCATGACGAGCTAGCTAGAATTCTGCGATCTATACTGACAATGTTTCTGGAAACTTCTCATGTTTGGTATCTTCCTGATAGCCCGTCTAGTGCCATATTAGGGTCGTAAATATAGCATAAGAGTAAGACACATACAGATTACATACGCCAAGACAGACTGCGTCCGCAGCGAGTTCCAAATCTAGGGCAAAAATGTTCTATAATTTTTATTTTTCAACATTTTTTTGCTACCTAGGTTGAACGTCTTACCAACGAGTTTTCAATATATCTCACAAAAGATGGCCGAATGTCAGTAGCTGGAGTGTGCTCAACAAATGTGGAATATTTAGCCGAAGCCGTTCACGAAGTGACCAAGTAGACATGATATTCCCAGTAATATAGAAACTAAATTATAAAATTAATACAATGCCTTTCTCTAAATTAGTATAGCAAAAAACTTCTCCTCAACTCTAAAGGGTAAGGGACAAGTTTATTATAGGAAATTGTGCAGAATAATAAACTAACATGTAAAGTGTATTAGAATACTATATCAGAGCACTTTTTTCCAACCATATCGTACCGGAACGTAGCATTTTTTTAATTATATTGACTCAAACACTGTATACCACTTAGCCTGCATAGCAGTTGCTTTATTTTGTTGAAGGTTTTGAGCATTTTTGAATAAATGGCGGGTCAGAAAAAATGGTTGTTCTCGCTTTTTTTTTCTAACCCGCCATTTATTTACCCTGGATTCCACAGCCTTCAGTAAATAATAAATTGAAACGTCAATCACAAAACAGAATTAGTGGTTTTAGTACAGATTCTGTACTTACTAAAACCACTAATTCTGTTTTGTGATTGGCGCGGTTTAATCAAAGAATCCTCCCGTTGAACCAGAGCCTTCACGACGTTTCAATTTATTATTTACTGAAGGCTCTGGAATCCAGGGTACCATTTATTCAAAAATCCTCAAAACCTTCAGCCAGGCGCTTTATTTTATACGACCTTCCCCAACCTCGTTCCCAGGCTCTTTTTCACCTTCCCTGACCTAGAAAGTGGTTGCGCTCCCCCCTGTCTCCCCGTATTTTGCAGGCATAAAGCCTGTATGCGGGCTGTTATGCAAGGCATTTAAATGCAAAATGGCGGGCGTTCGAGGAGTGGAAAGCGCATCAAAAGTAGGAAACTCGGCTAAAAAATGCAAAATCGAACTACGTTTATACAAGAAAATCCCAGTATGGATATGCGAATACCATCAAGAAGTTTTGCCGTATATTTACAGAGCAATCGGGTCAAAATATTTGCCGTTTTCCGGCATAACTTTGCTGCATTTTGACTCGCATCCCGACCTGATGGCCCCGCTGGATATGAAGGCTGAAAGCGTGTATAATAAAGATATATTGTTTGATGTTGTAAGTATTGCAGATTGGATATTACCTGCAGTTTATGTTGGCCATATTAAGAAAGTTATTTGGATAAAACCGCCATGGTCAGAACAGATTTCTGATAAAATATTATGCTTTAATGTTGGGAGTCATAAAATTGAACGAACAATAAGGTAAATGAATGATTTTTATAATATAATTGCTACTTGATAGGGTTGTCTATGTTAATCTGCAGTATTTCAGTTTGTGTTAAACCTTTACCAAAAATGCTGTGTTAATTAATCCCCCTCTTAAATAACCCCCCCTCAACTCCCCCCCTTGCCACCTTCAAAAAAGTTCTGGACATGCATAGCTGAACATATGAGAGGATTTATGGTATGTGTAGATGATTACCAATTTGGGCAATTTTTTATAAGATCTCTGGGGCACACTTGCAAAAGGTACAAATCTAGGGGCAAGGGAGTTCACCCTTCACAAAATAAGTCTCCTTTTGAATGGAGATGGTTCAGTATGTGTGCACACCATGCACTGGTTGACAAAGATTTTGTTGTGTGTATGATTAAACAACTAAAACAAGTATTTTTACTCACAGAACTCTAATAGTGCTAGGGTATGCCTGGTGGATAAAGAACCCCCACTTATACCTACTTTGTAAGGAGTTTGACCAAGATCAGTCTTTGGTCAAAATATGGCAGTGTCTTCATGTCCCTATTCAAGTAGTTCTGTCACTGTTATAGTATTTAAAAAAAAACTGGCAGTGTTTTAAATAATATGTATTTTACTAGAGTGTCATGTAGTGAGAAATATTTCTGTGAAGACGGACTGTATGTGCCTCAGGAAGAATTAGAAAACTGTAGAGAACTAACTGTAGTTGTGAAGACCATGCCAGTCAATAATTCACGCAACACGCCACCTGGAAATGATGTGGACGCATCGTATCCTGCTGGGGAGAAACAACAAAATAATGCATCTAAGAGTTCTTCTACAGATTGCTGTAGTGATAAAGTGAAAGATGAACAGAAATTTGATTTTCAACAGGGAGGCGATTGTGATTGCAAACAGTTGAATATAGCAAGTAAATGTGCTTCCCTTGACAGAACCCAATTTGAAAATGATGAAACTGTCAAATCTTCAAAAAGCCATCCACAAGGAGAGAATTTGTGTAACAACCATTGTGAAAATTTGAGTGTGACAGATGAATGTGTTTGCTCTGATAAAAGAAAATTTGAAAGTGATATTCAGTTGTTTATCAATGAAGTGTTGTCTCAGCTAGAAGAACCTTACATTTTGGACATTGATATGGACTTTTTCTCCACCTTGAATCCTTTTAAAACAATGTTTTCTAAGGTTTGTACTTCTTATTATTTAACTGACTTAAACTCTACCCTACAGACCACGTCCCCTCTCCCCTCGTTTCCCCACCTCATTCTCTTCCCTCTCTAAGAACAAGTAACCATCAACCAGTGTATACTGAAATTTTCAAAACTTATAGCATTCGATAACGTTATAGAAAGAATTTGAAGTGCTGAAGAGATTTTATGAATTTCCTCAAGTTGATTCTCACGAGGAGCCTGTGAGTATAACATTTATTTGTTCTAGTTTATTTTTCCTTTTAAATTTGTTGTACTTTAGTATACAGTCAAAACTACTCTTTAACGAACGTCATTTCCGGAGCCATACAAATAACAAGAAATTATTGGAATGCTATGACGTAAGCTGATCAATTATAGCGCTAAACCCCAAACACGGCTGGTCAGCCGCTTGTCACCCGCTTGTCACCCAAAACAAAAGTCAAAATCCTTCATAAACCAAGACAAAATCTGGCCTAATCTCTGTCTATGCCCAGTTTATAGTTTTTCCCCGTGTAGTTGAAACGTAGCCTGCTCGCCGAAATTGTGTTCTAAGAAAACTGAAAATTTCGGGTGGGGACTGCTGAGCAGGCTAGTTGAAACGGTAAAGTTAGGAAATTAGGTAGATTACCACTAGACTCGTGACAAAAAATAAAATAAAGGGGGAAATTACAGCTAGCGGGGGGATGAAATTGGCGAACCTATTAACTCTTCAAAAGTCACGCTGGTAAAAATCGGTCAATCTAGCCCAAATTTGATATTTTACGATTCAATTGTTTCTACGTAAGTGTATCAGCAAGTATTCCCCCCCCCCTTTAAAATGAGAATCACTGTTGATATCCTCACAAAATAATCTTTTCAACGGGGGTTTGAATGCCGTCAAAACATTGCACATTAATTAAAGCACAAGCGATTTAAAATTGAAATATCTCAAATTCATCCTCGTCTTCTTTTGATTCGTATCTTGAGTTTCAAGATGCTAATCTTCGTATTGTGTTTTGTCTTATACAAAGCAATTTTGGGTAAGTGCATATGACGAAAAATCTCTATTACTTCTGGCATTTAGTAGTTACGTTATGACGGATATTAAACCGCAATGACAATGTCTTTGAATATGGTGAATAATACGTGATTACTATTTTGTTTTTGAATTTGATGTTTTTGGTGAACTACGTTATTTCGTCACGAACATCAACAAAAACTAATCTTAAAGTCGTCAATGATGACGTGAACAGTGATGCGTCTTTCACATTTGTGGCCGGAAGTTGACCTCTAGAATACGCAGTTGCCTGATGTCGTTGACTCTAGCACAGAATAAGAAGGTACAGCAGAAGTGTAACTTGAGTCGGTTCCTTTATTGTTTTATGTCCGCGAAAATTTTAACTCGCTCACGCCATCCTGGCTAGTACAACCGGAAGTTTTTATCAGGTTTTGGTAGGTACAAAGTGCCGATTGTACTAGCCAGGATGGCGCGATTGATGACGAATCGCTTGTAAAAACGCGGACAAATACTTGCTTGAGTTACACTTCTGCTGTACCTTCTTATTCTGTGACTCTAGTCAAAATATTTTCCGTCAGTAAAACGTTTATGTCATATGACGTCAAAATATATTCGACGTCATAACTTTAGGTAAAGACTCGTTTATTTGTCCAGGAAATTTGACGTCACAAAACTTGGGAATCGTGAGTCATCAGTCAATTTACGAGACAAATTTACGTAAATTATATATTCGACACGCCAGGTGATCTAGCGTACATAAACGAATAAAAGAGGGGTTCCTCCCAGAGAAGCTCAAAACAAAAGAGCTCAATTTATTAAAGAAGCACTGAAAAATATCTCTACTTTGGTTCGATCCGAAAATGGCTTGGCACAGTGGAGCTTGGTGGCCTCTATATGTCCCGCAGTGGTACAGCCCGAAGGTTTCTCAGCACTTATTTGACCCGTACAGCTTCACACATATTCTTCACGGAGTGGTATTGTATTATTTGTGGTATTTGCTTGGATTCGGACCGGCATTTGGCTATCTAACCATGTTTGCATTGGAGTTTGCTTGGGAATGGATTGAAAATAGTAAAACTGTCGTCGAGCGCTATCGAAAGACGAGCGGCACATCTGGCGAATATAATGGCGACAGTTTTCAAAATAGTATCGGCGATCTGATTGCGTGCGAAGTGGGCTACACTATTTCATTGCTGTTTCATTATGTTCTCGGGAAGTTTTGGCTTAGTATTGCGTTCTATTTTGTCATCGAAATAGGGCTGTTGATATACATGAGAGACTCTTTGACTGTAACATTGGTAACT